GATATTACCATTCTCAATGTCTCTTTGGGTTAGTTTTAAGTCACGACATATACTTCCTGCTCATTATTTAGTGGTTTCAGACCAGAACAAAGAGAACACGAGCTAATGACAACTTTAATTTAGCATCGGCTTCGAGTAGCGGCTTCTGATGAATAGACTTCTTGTGCGTAGGATAATGCCATTTAAGTCTGTATACACCCGCGTCTATTGTATTTATTTACCCGAGCACGTCGCGTACTGGCCAACCCACTTGAAATTCAGTTTTTGTCATTTGTCGAAGATATGTTGCATTTTACATAGGCGTATTATGTTATGTAGGACGAAGTTGCCTCTACATCTAAATCAAGAAACCAGTGTCCCAACTTTTCGTTTTATTACTTGATGTGGGTGCAAGGCAAGTGTTAAGTAGTGCACTCCATGTAGGTATTTATTGAATTACTTCGAAATTGGGTTTAATAACCTTGCCAATTTGAACGTGCACGTTTCCTGGACCCGGGTGTATTTTGCGATTTGATTTACTTCCACAAGGGATGTTGTTGAACGGTTTTAAAGTGGTTGCACTTGTACACACAATTGGAGTGGAATTAAGAAGAAACTTTATTACTTCTGTTGCGGATAGATAAGAAATTGAAAAACGGAATGGAGGAGGTATCATCCCCAGCCGACAACTTTTACTTTAGAAGGAACGGAAGACGGGACACGATATAAACTGCGCCTTATTCTAGCGAAAACCCAAAATGAAATGAAATACTTGCTTTAACGTGTGGTCTAAACAGAAAGCTATGTGAAATATAACGTAAGTAATTTAGTTTAAGTATATTTATTACTTAGAATATAGAAAAAATGACTTTTCTGACAGTGGTCCTGGTTTATAAATTAATGACTCTTGACTTCTTCCTTATATAACTTACTCTAACTAAAATTATAGGGAGTTCACCACTCGGTTTTGACCACAAACGAAAACTTGAAATCATTGTTTTCAAGCTGTTCGCCAGACAAACCAACTTACTTTATGCTACCTGTATACTATAGAGGAGCATTCGGCAATCCCTCACCTCCAGTTGATAAAGGGGGTGCAGTCAATTGAAATAAAAATGTTGAACAGCAAACTTATTTTGTAACGGTCCTAGCGGTTACAGGCTACCCTTACCCTCTTCGTAACCTAAGGACCTCTAAAATCTCCCTTCTACACAACCTCCTGTTCGTTAAGACAACCTGTGTATGTTGGGTTGCCTACCTTCAGGAACACAGGGAGATGTTCTGGGTAGCTCGATATCGGCGATCCAGGTCCACCACTAATTAATTAACTAAACCTTGGTAGAATATTCTAGCTAAATCAAGATCCACTGTTTTTAGAAAAATTACTTGGTTGGATGATTTTAATTAATTAAGATATTTATCGAAATTCGAGCCGCGAAAACCGCGAGTTACTGCGGAAACTAGCGAAGATTTAGTTTAAATGTGTGCTTCGGAATTTTTTGTAATCAATTAATCGGGCCATTTTTTATTGATGGGACTCTCAATCAACAATGGTACCATGAGACTTAATGAAAATCTTCAGGACTTTTTGGAAGAATCACCTCTTGCAGAATTAAATGGGATTATTTTCAACAAGACGGGGCCGCACCACATATTATATAACGCCCTACTAAATATAAATTTGTTTAAACCACTATTTTTCTGCAAGGTGCATAGGAGTACAGGGAGTAATTCGTAGGTGCCATTGGTGCATTGAACAAAATGGTTGCAAATTGGAGCAATTTCTGTAGAATTAACAGTAATATAATTGTGGTTATTTATAGCATTTTTGTAGTAATAGAGTCATACTGTTTGCTCACGATTTCTATTCCACTCGATGCGTTCCATGGCATGTTACATAATTTTGAAAAATTAGCTTCTTTAATTTTTGTGTGACAAATTCCACTCAAAAGTAACGTTGATATTAATCATTGAATTTAGGGGGACAAATCAAATTCAATTAAAAAAACAATCATTCCATTTAAAATAGTTAAGTCAACTATTAGTTTTTTTTAAAATAGATCCCGAATTTTTTAATTGCAAGTACTAGTTTTCATTATATATTATTAAATACACTTTTTTAGGGTATAGTAGCGTAAAAAGTGCATACTTTATGAGTATGTAGGTAATAAAAAAATAATGGTTGCTATTAAAAAGATATATGCCCCCCTTATCCATGCAGAGGTACGCCACTGTCCACCAATTTAAAATCCGTAGGTTGCCAATGGCGGATGCCATAAAATGTTTCTTTAAAAAATTGTTGTTTTGAAGAAATATTCAGTGCCCCAGGCAAAATTTCCACTCTGTATATTAATTAATATGGTCATTTTGTCAGGTATTGGGGAAATCTTAATCTTAAATCAGCGGGCATCTATTTGCCTATCGTTCAATTTGTGTATGTGAAGCGAATCGAACTTGCTTATGCATACTTTATTAGCAACAATTTTTCGTATCCAATTGTCAGACTGTAAACACAATTTTCTCTTTTATGAAATAATAACTGACAACAAACCAATGAACAGCATTTTAAGCGTCAAGCTTCGTTTGTATTCAACTTCAAAGTGGAATTGAAATTTAGTATAAACGTTTACATTATAAATTTGCCATTGGCTTAATTTCATTTCAAACCGGAAATTTGTCAAAAGCGACTCAACATAAATACGGGATATTCTGTTTTTGTTGTGCTCTGTTAAGTTTTCTTGCTGAAAATACAGCAGGCATGTCAAACTCATTTTATCATCAAGGGCCATTTTAAGATTTCCACATATAGTTGGGGGTCACATAATAAAAAAAATAACACGAAAAAATACAGACCTTTTTTATGTCTAACTAAAAATATGGGTACCAAATTTGGTTCCCGGAAATGAGAGTACAGACAGACCCACAGACATACTAACATGGAAATTTTGTTTGATTCGGATTCCTGGTACCTCAAAACGTGTATTTCCGTAAAAACAGTGGGGGGGGGGTCATTTTTTACCCCGATGCAATACCTCCCTTACTAACGTATGGGTCGTTAAAAGATAAACTGCCTATTTTAGATATTTTTACGTAGAATCTAGTAGTGACGTAGTAACAAATTACAATGGTCCATCACCGTTTCTGAGATTTGACCCGAACTTGGTATCTTTTAAATGCAACACTCTGTACACTTTAACGTACAATTTTTTGAATTCTTTTTCGTGATTGCATCATCCTATATTTTTAGCGCATTTTTGACAAAAATACGCTATTATATTCGTTATTGCTGGCAGGCCGGCTGTCCGCGTGAGATCTCCACAACTACAATAGCTAGAGAATTCAAATTTTCACTAAAAGCTTTCTGCTATAGTGTAGATGTGCAGGCACTAGTCTATTTTGAGTTAGATTACTTGTGAGATCGATAATTGATGAAAATAAATTCGATATGGGTTTCGGAGGTGCTATAATTTTACCGTTAGATAGCGCTACCAGTATAAAAACTTATTATTTACTTTGTGATTTGTTTTACAAAATGAAGACGTACCCTCAATTGAAATTAAATAAAATTAATTATTTAACGCAGCCAAAATTACTCGTGAGATCGATAATTTTAAACTTCGCTAATAAAATACTGACCTGCATGACCAAAAATGCGCTTTAATCATGCATATGCTGATTTACAACTTGTTTAAAATTATATTGTTATATTTTTCAAAATTTTGAAATGACATGTTTCTACCGCCAACCATTTTTATTGATTTATATCGGCTGCCTTAGTTACCATGGATACAATAAACAAATCTTACAAATCAAAATCTCGATGTATCCATGGCCTACTATTTAAAAAGAGTAAAAAATAAGGTTTTATTGATTTTCATCGCTCAAATTAAAACAATACAGGTTGTGATACATTAATGTAATTAGAAAAATTTAAAAAATACCAACCTCGGGTCAAACCTCAGAAACGGTGGTTTAAAGGTTTTTTTTTACTATGCGACTGGATTCTACGTAACAATATCTAAAATAGGCAGTTTTGATCTTTTTTTAATGTTATATCGGTAGTAAGATCTGATAACGTCTCAAAAAGTCAAACTTTTCGTTTTTATTTTTTATTTATGTTACATTTATTTTTGAGTGGGCGGGGTTTCAGGTGGCTCTACCAACCCAACCCACTATACATTTACAAATATCCATGCCCGAACCCGAATTCGAACCAGCAACCCTTAGCACCGCAGTCCAGATTTAACTGAACTGCCCTACACGAGACGGCATCCGGTATTGCGTGACAGAAATTAGAACGGTTTTAACAATATCGTCTTCGACAATTCTGTTCATGACAAAACTGAACATGTCCACTTTTTCGAATATCTTATTTGAATTCCAATTTTACACTTTTCGATTTCAAATTTATAAAGTGTAAAGTCCGTATTAAAGAAATAATTTGAAATTTAAAAATAAATATACGCCTACGCAATATGTTGACGAATCTGGCTACGCCTTGAAAATGAAAATAAAAAAGCTTTTTCTTATTTACGTTCCATTTGTTTGTCCTGATCTTTATTGGAAGTAGAATGTTTTGTTCTTAAATTGGTGTTGTTCTTTCAATAAAGTACATAATGGTTTTTGAAATGAGATGTTTACGTAAAATAAAAGGTCATCCAATTTTCTCTATTGCATCATGAAACGATATAACAAGTCGCGTTCATCAAATTTCATCCCAGGAATGATCGATGAGACACGTCCCACTCATAGACAAATTTTTATAACGTAGTAATACTACCAAACTTTGTTTACGAACTTGAAAGTTTGTTTAAGTGTTTAGGGGTTTATTTTCATCCGCAATTCTGTTGACTATCAGCGAGGTTTTAACAGTTTCACTTAAGTGTTAAGTTTGAAACGACCCTTGTATTAAAGTTTTCCCGGTATTTCCCCAAAAGACTTATTAGTTACTTGTATTATCCTTAGATAGATTAATTTAAGGCTCCCGTGGGAACGATTTTAATGAGTTTATTATTTTTCAGATTCGTCCATGCGATACGAGCGAAATTAATGGTGAGTAACTTTATATTTATTCATTTTTTGGCTTTCAGTATTTAACTCGGTGCGCTTTTGTGTCAATAGTAAAATATTATGCTACGCCGAGTGACTTTCACGCATCGGTATTTGTACATGGTCACCCTTGAAGTTAAACGAAAACATTTCGTTTTCACTTAAAATAAACCAAGAATAATAATTACCGTGCCCAAATTGATACGTGCAAATCAGCTTAGAATCATCGCTCTCCCAGTTTTCTCGCTATTTGAATCTCGCCCGCTAGAAAAACCGGAACGGAGTTTCCATTTTGAACGCATTGACCTCAACCGTCAGCCGGTTCAAATGCGTGTATTGTTAGCTCCTGACGTACTTTTGTTCACGTTCTCTATGAAGCGGTATATGTGTACATTTTTTTTATGTTTAACCTAATACACAATCACACATTCAAAACCAAATTTTTAAAAACGGCTAAGCAACCATCTGTTACAAGGTGATTGAGAGTAATTTTGTCTTGAGTCGTCATCGAGCTTAAGTCAAAGAAACCATATTTTTAAAAAATTGCGAAAAATTGCCGGTCAATCTAAATAATTTGAAAAACCGCGAAAATTAGTGGTACGGCGTGTTGCGGATTGAATTATAGTTATTCGTTGCGCGATCATTTGCATACAAAAAGGTAGTCTTAAAAAATCTAGATAACTTCGGCAGTTGTTCTTCCCGAGATTCGAGAAAGGTCGTATTGTTTTGTACCCTCCAGAATCCGCTCTAATTAAGGTAACGTAAAATTTGTGATTTGTATAAAAATAGCGATCGAATCTCTTTAAGAAATTGCATTAAATTGTATTGAATGTAAATTGTAAATTGGCTGAATCCAGAATGGAGCCGAATTGTATTATATAAAAACAATTGTTTAAACTCATTTTGAAGCAATTTTGAAGCTTTCTTCCTTTAGAAATTGGTTTGTTAGTTTACATGAAAATTTTCAATAAATGAGTCCAATTCTTTGTTAGCTGGAAGGTGTTTTTGTATAAAATTGCCACATTTTTTATTCTTATTGTGGGTTTAAGTAGGGATTAATTAGAAGAGAAAGAGGGCCACGGTATAGGAATTACCTCGGGAATTACAGTTTTAGTACTCGTAATCATAAGAAAAATTTAAATAAGAAAATAAAATTTGTATCTGTCTCGACAAAGCCCTTTCTTAAACCATTACATTATGTAATCACGGCTATTTCAAAATGAGACGATTACACCTTAAGGGTAATTTCGTACGGTAGGATATGGGGGTTCAAATCCATCGTGAGGGCGTCTCATTTTTTTTTTGATATCAATAAAATGAAATCGAGATTTATTTTTTATTTGAAGCTTCAAAATATGACAGGTGAAGGGTGCAATCAAATTACATCTTTGGATATGTCTACAGGGGCGCCACCGTGACTTCCTCCTACATCAAACACAAAGAATATCGACAATTCAAAATTTTAATGAAAGATAAAAATCTCGATAGCAGAATTTTAGTGTCACGGCGCCTCCTAAGAATTTCATATTGTGTAAGTAAATCCGAGAGCGCATTTAGAAAGATACTAAAACAGCAATATAAGGGGATGCTATCCAAGATTTTATTCACTTTCCGGAGAATATGCCGGCTTCGTTTAATGTAATCGCTTACGTAGGTAGATAAAGGGGGTTACAAGAGCATAAGCATTTCTCCAAGTACATAAATTAACGTAATCTCGCTGAAAATTTCTAATTTAGGGTATCGGTGGGTATATGGGAATGCAAACATTCGCACTTTATTACTTTTTACGCGTGAATGGATATCGATTTAGGTTATCTAGTTATTAAGGGCGGAAAGGGTCTTATATTATTGGAAGTATGCAGAATATCATTGCTAAAAGGGCTTATAAACAGAATTATGGAAGGTGTTTGTGCGCTACAAATAAGCGATGAGCTTTCCGAATGCTTTTAACGTAACACGTTGAAAGCGTGCCTGCATTATCGTCTTCGTAAGATTTACAAACGATTTGGAACTTTATGACGTTATAATTTAAACGCATCATGTTGAAAAATCTTATTCTGATATCTACTGTGGAAAAGCTTATTTACGTTACCGAGGTTTCGATCTATACCTATTTCCGTTTTGTAACGGACCCTACTATTCAATAAGGTATTACGAGACAGTCAGTTAAGGCATTGAATAAAAATCTGAATAGAAAGACAACGCAATGCTTTTTGAAGGGTCCACTTTAACGGAGTTTCTCCGTAGGTTGCCCTCTGGGACAAACTCCGCTTATTAAAAGTAACTAAATTTTAATCGAGGGTTTATACCACCTACTCAACTGAATCAAAGTGATTAGATTTCTTTAGATGACGCTACTTTCGCGTACTTATCTCGTAGACTGCGTGGGAGTTATAACAGCAGGTGAAGATCGTATTGCAATGCAATATTATCTCTGTATTTACAAACTTATGCTTACGTAATACATGTTATTATTTGCACACCTCTTAGGAAATGACGTCAAAGTTATCAACTTACAAGTAAATCTTGATTCCAACGATCTTACCTTATGTAGACTTTAAGATCGAAATTAAACTTTACTATTATTGTACCTATAGACAAAGTTTTGGGATATTTCAGAATATGCAATATACTGTCAGTCTCAGTTGTGCGAGCATTTACAGATATTGTTTAATTGCTGTTTCCGTATATAAATGCACAAATAAAATAACATGTTTTTGAGACAAAATTTGGAATTAAGTACTACTTTAAACAACAACTTTAAAATTCAAATGAGAGAAGTGCAATATAATCTATTATGATGTGAAATGAAAGGTTTTTTAAATCTGCTTCATGAAAGAAATTGTATTGCACTTTTACGAAACGAAGACTCGAAAACGCCATGCCGACACGTTTGCTTCTAAACCTTTTTCTACGTCTCTCTTGTAACATATTTTTGTTTTTGATATTTTTAAATATTAATAATTACGGCACCTGAAAATACCATAAATATCAAGTACTTCTACAATTATTTATGCAAAATTCGAGTATTAAATCAAAAATCTGTTACAATACAATAGAGGCATAGATGTGTCCTTTATCTTTACATCGGCACCTAACAACACGGTATAGAATCCAATTTACTCAAAATGTTATACTAAGTCCCACACCTAGACACGCTATTCGACCCATATAATTTCTATTGAAGCGCTTTCCTAGTCGTATGCAGAGAACGGCTTAAGTTCTCGAGTTTACGGATCGAATAAGAAATTTCAAAGCTATTATGAATTTCCATAGCAAGAGAAAAGACGCAGTCGTCAATCGCATTCAATGGAATGTTTTTTACCGTCAAAAAATAAATCAAGAGAACATACATTTATCATAGGGTCCGTTCACTTAGCCCCCCATTAGCCCAAAAATGAACCAATTTTTTTTATGTATTGTGCCTCAATTGTGCATTTATGCGCACCGTTTGTGCTTTTTTGGTTTTGGAGATAATCGAAAAAATCAAATGGGGGCTAAGTGAACGCTTAGCCCTCCCAAAAATTAAACTTTTTGATAGTTCATCGACGGTATTGCGTAGTACTTCGATTGTGTTTAATCGTGCTTTCATACTCATCGTTTGTGCCTTTTTGGTTTCGGAGATAATAGGAAAAATCAAATGGGGGCTAAGCCTGGGGCTAAGTGAACGCTTAGGTCTCATCAAAAGAAACTGATTTGTACAAACTATAGCTTTTCCGGGCGCCTCATTTTCGAGATCAGTGGGGGGGGGGGGGGGAACTGGTTTTATCCTTCATCATGATACTCTAATGAAGAGTCTCAACGAAAGGAATTAATTTCTACCAATCATAGCCCTCCTCCTCAACCTCTTATCGTGATCAGGTATATTCCCTTATACCTCAAGATCGGATTGTCGGAAGAGGGTACTCACACAAACTTATAAATTAAGATGGACCGCTGATCAAACAGTTGCATAGAGGTAGAAATGGCCCTAGCAGGGGCGCCGCCATGATGTGCACATTCTAGTTATTTTGTAGGGGAATTTTCCTAGTGCTCAAGTTTTGAGACTATTGCAGCCTTGGAAAATGACATGTGTCACAGTAATTTATTTAGAAAATGTGAGGTTAATGTTGGGTTTTAATGCTTGTTTATTAGTTGATTTGAATTTCGCGCCATGTGAGTGCACATCATGGCGGCCCCCATGTAGGTGTCATTTGTCAATTCAGCAATAACAGTCCATCTTAACTTATAAGTTCGTGGTACTCACAAAGGGCGATTGAGATGTCTGCAAGAAATATATCAATTAGTGATGTCAAAACAAAAGCTATTTCGGTTAAAAAATGCGCTTTATCTGTACAAGAGTTGTGCACAATTTATACTTGTTTATACTTTTTCAGATTATGTCTTTCATACTGCAGCTTATGACCATACCTTGTGTTGTATTGATGATTAACGTTCAGACGATTGAAAATATCTGAATTCATCTTAACAAAAACTAAAACTTCTAATATATACAGACATGGAAAGGTAAGGATGTCATTTAAAGTTGGTTATACAGGGTGAAAATTGGGTGATAGAGGGCCGAGGGGTTCAAGATAAGCACTTTTTTTCAAATAAACCGAGGGTCAAACGTGTTTCGTTTGGGAGCCACCCCCAAAGAAGTGGTGAAATTTGGAGTTCTTTAATTTTTTTCTCAGCAATCACCAGTTACTTTTGTGTTGTCTTACTGGAAGAAAGGGCAGCAACAAACTGCTCAACGCAAACTATATTAATTGGCGCCAAACTGGGATTTTTAGCTTAACCTGGAAGTGAAGTACGGTGAAGGTTTTTTGACGGTTTTTTGTTCGTAAGGATGTCTACTTTGAGAATGCCACCTTGACACCCTTGAGCATTTTGAGAAATTCAAGATGGCGGCCAAAAAAATACAAAAATTAAAGTTTTCAAAAATATGGGCATATAACACATCGATTTTAGGGTTTTTAAGCCTTCTGAATTTAAATTTTTAGTTAAAAATATTTTTGGGG